TATTTATTTATTTATTCCGCGTCGGCGGGCCAAATGCTGTTTTCATTTCTGTTACGAAAAAGTCAGCGTAATAGTAATAGTAATAATGAAATAACAACAATGGTTGCAAAATGTATATTCTTGCATCGATTGCAAAATATATTAAAAATAGTGCATTGATATTTTTAAATTGGAAGGGGGATGATGAAAAGAGAGACGAGAAAGGGGGTTGGGAGAAGGATAGATAGAGAGAGGAAGGGATTATAAATGGAGAGACGAGGAAAGGAGATAATAGGGGGGGGGGGAGACGCTATAGAGATAGAGAGATGAAGAAGAGATATGGAAAGAAGGACGCTATAGAAATACAGAGAGAAATAGAAAGAGAAAGAGAGATGCTAGAAAGAGAAAGGGAGACGTTATAAAGAGAGAGAGAGAGAGTGAGAGAGAAAGACGCTATATATATAGAGAGAGACGCTAGAGAGAGAGAGAGAGAGAGAGAGAGAGAGACAACGACGCTTTAGAGGGAAAGAGGGAGAGAGAGAGAGCGACGCTATAGAGACAACGACGCTTTAGAGGGAAAGAGAGAGAGAGAGAGAGAGAGAAAGAAATAGAGTGGGAGAGTAGGAGTGTGTCAGAGAAAGAGAGGAAAAGGGAGAAGGAGGGAGAAAGGCTGGACCGACGAACTATACTGTTTCGCAGTCGAATACCTACGTCGACGTTTTATCGGCTGTCGTTCCGGAACGTCGAGGACTTTATGTGCCGGGTGTGACTGCGAAATTTTTGGAGGTTGCCTCCCACTCCTCCACCCCCACCTCCGCCGCCAGGCTTCGCCCATCGCCCCCTTTATTTCGTGTCCGTTGATCTCTTCTTCGCTCGCTCGACTACAAATCTCGATCTCGTTCTGATCCATTGGGATTCGACGGCTCCCATCAGTCAGTCAGGCGATACAAAAAACAGTTGATATTAATAAATTGCTGATTTATTATTATATTTATTATTTAATACCTATTATTTCAATATATTATTACATTTATTATATATCTTATATACATATAATATTATTACTATTATTAATATTATAATATATATTATTATATTGTATATTATATATATTATTATATTATATTATATTATAATATATATATATATATATTATTATTATTTTAATATTATTACTATATACATAACCTTGACATAATCAAGCCAGTCACAGCTCCCCCGACATAACCTTGTCATAACCTTGACATATCTCGTAAACAAACCACGGATTGCATTTTCGCCAAGGAAAAAGTTACTTCAAATAACTTCAGAAATCATCTCTTTCCGGGTGTCACATAACTATGAGACACCCTGTATATCAGTCACGCGACATTGTGATATTTTTCTAATAGCTACCAATTCATTATAGTTCGTCTCCTGAACTGCGAAACCGTGTATCATCGTGCAAAATACCCGCGTTTTCTGGATCATCGGTTCCGATCGGTTCGGTCGCTTGTTTTGAAAATTTTCGGAACGGATCGATTAATTATACCTTGCCGCGGCCATACCAGGAATCTTAAAACGGGACTGACTAGCAATCAGAGCCGGCCGAAACCAGGATCCGATTACACGTCGCGTGATTAAAATGTAATAATTAACTGTCGCGTAATCGGTATCTGTAATTATTAATTGTGAGCGACCTGGAATCGCGATCGCGGTGATTACACCGCGTTTCAATCACTGTCGCGGCAAAAGAATTTCGCAATCAAATCAAATCAAATCAAATCAAATCAGATCGAATCGAATCAAATCGAATCAAATCAAATCAAATCAAATGAAACCGTACCCGTTCGCCGAATAGAATTCCCCCCCCCCCCCCCCCCCCCCCCCTTCTCCT